AAAAAAAAAAAAAAAACAAAAACGTGAGACTCCAACAAAAAGAGAAAGAAATTGGGAAAAAATCGGATCAAGGAGAGAAAAAAACTACCTGTTGCTGAGAATCTGGGGATAAAATAGATTGAGATGCTGAGCTTCAACTGCCATTGTTGTATCTCGATTATTTATTATTATCAAATTCCTATCCTATGGAAGGGGTAGAATTAAAGGCATGCAAATAAATAGGTGCAGAAGGCGAGCTTATAACGGCTGGGGTTATTTTAGGGACTTCACAATTAGATGCCAACGAAGGCGGGTCAAGCCTATAACCCGTTCTAAAACCAGGTTATTTCGGGTCCACCGTGTGTCTATTGTGTGAGTAATTTATTTATTTTTCCATGTCACCGAGTGTGAGAATCTGCCACTTAGCATCAACACGTTTATTAGGAGTGATGTTATTTTTAGTTTTTGTTAGAAAAAATAAAAAAAATAGTGATTATTTAAGTAAAATATATATATGTAAGTACAATAAATTCACATAAGCAACTGAATTAATCCATACATATTTTTTTGGTAAGAAACAATTTTTTTTAAAAAAAAGGAAAATTTTTTATATAAGAAATAGACTTACTGTACATCATTTATGTAGATGCGATTTACTTGTTTTGCAAAAATAATAATAAAACAAAATAGTATTGAGTTGAAAAGGAAAATGATTAATGTAATATGCGTGATTTACATAGTCTGGTTGAATATGTGGGATTTGACAAAGAGCACAATAATAATCAATAGTTAAATATTGTATATATATAATGAACAAAAATATCTATGTACTGATTTGTATCTTAAGAAAGTAAAATAAAGTAAAAGATCATAATAACAAAAATAATGTAGATTTCATTTTGACAAATCCCTCTATATATATATATATAATTCCTGAATGCGCTGAGCCTACGTGGCTGCTTATGGTGTTTCGGAATCCTACTTGGCGAAGAATCATGCTTCACAATTAAGTTTGGAATATTGATATATTAATAATTAATAATCTAAGTTCGGACATTCCATAAATATTATTTAGCCAACTTAGGTATTTTAATATCACTTGTACTAATATAACTCTTTAATTCTTTAAAAATTTTACATAGTGAGACACTAAGTGACTAATATATCCCTGACTTGTGATTTGTTTCCTTCAATTAGCTATTGAATTATAAATGTATTTTAAAAGTTGATAACTTTTGTATTTCCCTTAGCTGCCAAGGACGCTAAATAATCTGCAACAAAATTCGTTTCACGGTAGCCATGACGGAGCTCCACCGTCCACGAACGAGCCAAGAGGTCTTGGATACCTCGCAAAAGATTCCCATGCGGCCCAGTATAATCCCCGAGGTAGGCCATCGCCACAATGCTCTGACTATCAACTTCCACCGTCATGTCTCGGGCCCCCATATCTCATACTAATTGCAATCCCTTGAACAAGCCCCACAACTCTGCTCCCACAATAGAGCGAAACTCGATATTCATCATAAAGCCACTAACTCATGCCCTGAGGTGGTCCCGAATAACCCCCCGACACTAGCCATCCTCGTAGACGGATCGAAACTCCCATCCGTGTTAACCTTTAGACTCCCCTCCGCCGGGGAAGACCAAACCAACCATCGCGTTTCACGTAAACCACACGCCCCAAGATTACGACCTCCGAGCAAAGCACTCCTCGTTTGCCCGGCATACGACATAACCTCACCAACACGACGCTCCAAAGACGTATCGGCCCCCTCAAAAATTTTGAGATTGTGCCATCGCCACAACCTCCAAACAATGAGACCGAAACTCGTGCCCCACTCTTCCTCCTCCAGTACAAACCGACCGAATAGGTTGGTAATCGATAGTAGTTCATGGAGGATTGGGCATAGGCTGAGTTCAACTGCAGCTCGGCGCTAGTGTCCTCCTCGACACCTTTTAGGTGAATATGAGCTAGGCGGGGGCCAGCTTAGCATGGGCACTTCGGCGGATTACCACAGGTTGGTGAGCTCGGCGGTGGTGATCACCTCGGCACTACGGTGCCTTGACATCTCTGCCAAGAGGTTCCACCGAGGGACTCAAGATGAGGGGGTAGTTCACCAAATAAGTCAGGAAGAGGTTTGCAACATTAAGGAGTCTAGAAAGATTCGGAGATCTTTGACCTAGTCGAGAAGTAGTTGCCAGAAAGACGAGGTCTAGCAAGAATTCTTAGGTCTATACATAACCTCATCTAATACATACACCTGACATTGAAATTCTCAAATTTGACATGTAAAAATGTTTGCATAAAAAATCTATCATAATTTTGTTTTATCAATCAATTTGCCTATTTCTTTCGAAATTATCCACGGGTAGTCTTTTTCATCACTCCAAGTCAAAATGCGACAGTTAACTTTAATAATTTTGTACCAATAATTCAAATTCAGTGACCAACTGATAATCAATTATTGTTCAACTATTCTTAGATTAGAGGACTAATAATAAACTACATTTTTTTTTCCCCAATATATAAATGTACACATGCATGTCCTTACCTAAATAAATAAACAAATTAATGAATACAGGAATAGCTCATGAGGTAGATAAGTCCAACTATTCTTGTGCAACTCCAATTTCATTTTTTTATTTTATTTTTTTTCTAATTTTGGCTCAATACAAAATTAATGCTACCTATTTACCCTCATATGGATTCTATGAATAAAATGAAAACCCACACCTATAAGCAACTTCATTTGAAAGTTTGTTTACTAAACAATGTTTTAGGGTGAGAAAATCAAATCGAAACCGAAAAACAGAGCGTGCGACTTGATTTTATTTTTAGCATGGAAAATTTATAGTTCAGTTTTTTTTTTTCTACATTGTGGGACGATTCAATTATAATCTGGTTTTCGGTTTTGTTTTTCAAGTTCGGAACTTGAATATAGATGTATAAAATTGAAACAAAACCGAAAAATGAACTACACGTGCATTTCGTTGTGTGGTTCGTTTATTCTAGTGTAAAAAAAAATTTGTTTTGGTTTTGGATCAGTTTATCCTATTTGTCAAGTTCAATTACTGTTGTTGTAGGTTCTGTCTTTTCAGTTTTGCGATTCGGTGCGGTTTTACAATAAATTACCGCGCCAACCCCTACTAAAATTATGTACTATTTTGATATGATCACAATTATTGGCTAACCAAAATCA